CAGGACTTCAGAAGGGAAAAGTCAACAAAATAAGAATCTTGTCAGACATCCGATGAAAACCATTCTCACTGGTTATACTGCTAGCCTAGCTACTTTTGAGTGCTACAGCGAAGCCGCGCGCATGCTGACAGAAATATGATGACTTCAGATCACGCTCGCTTGCCTCTGCTGCCACAGCTCTCAGCTATGATGATATCGCGGTAGGTGTCATAACCAGGTCTACAGCACTAATTGGAGCGAATCCGCCAGAAAACTACGGTATTGACACTGACATATTCAACGGCCAAGACACCGCCTACACTGCCCTCACAATGATACAAGAACATGAAGACCAAACAATGACCATCTCAGCACCAGTTGACGTGTTTACCACATCCACCTTCACCTTCATAAACGCCCCTGCGAACTCGGATGATTCCACAAATTAATCCCCGTCATTCCCTTACTGAGCTGCTCTTACCCCTTTTTCCTGCTATCTCACTATGCATTATCATCTGAGTTTTTCCACGCCTCTGACACCTGCAATCTGCTAGCCCATGATAAAATTGCTTATGCACTTAACTTTCTATGTTAGCCTACAAGAGTGTAGGCCTTTTCAGACCGGGCAATTGCTACACCTTGCTATGCTTCATGCCCACTCTGCTCACTTGCCTTACATTACATCATATCATGTCAACACTTGCCTATTAAAGCAATAGCTAAACATCATCCATGAGCATAAATAGCTCATGTCATGATATAGATAGAGAATAAAGCTTATTACATCTTACAGAATGCATCAATATTTATCTAACCTTCTCATACAAAAAATAGTGATGTTTTATAACCATGTTATTCAATGTAAATATTGTTATTTTGATAATTTATCAAAGAAACCTCTCTATTCATTTTTTATTTCATTGATATTGTAGATACAAAGAAGTTTTCATTATTATTTTTTATCATTAATTTCACAATTATTTCTGTTATTAATTTTACAATTATTTTTATCATTATTTCTATCATTACTTCTATCATTATTTTTGTCATTATTTCTTTTTCATCTTACTACTTCTATTACTGCTCTTCTAAATTAAATAGAGTCAGTATAAAGTTTCATTGATTCTTTATTAACTCTGCATTATAATCAAGATAGAGATCTGATATATTTGAATCTTGAAAAGCAATGATATCTTGTTATATTATGGATTAAAAAATTCAATCATCAATCTTTCAATTCTTTGAAAGCAAATTCTGAACCTCATTTAAAATTAGTCTGATTGCTCATTCAATATTATCTGATTGCTCAATTTTTAATTTGATTGTTGTAAATTTTCTTATAATTTCTTTCAGAGTATCAATACTGTTCTCAAATTTTCTTTTAAATGATTGATTTCAAATATTTATTTCAGTTGACATTCTCACAGATGATTGAGATGAGCTAGCAAATTTTTAATAAATTGTTTTAAAAGATTCTACAATAAATATAAATGTTAAGAAAGATGTGAATGTGAATGTGAGGGGTGATGACAGTATGAAGAGTGAATAGTAAAAGATAGTATATAGTGTAGTGGAAGATAATAGTAATAATAATTATAATGATAGTGTAGTTGTAGCTAATCGCTAAGAAGGAAAAGAAAGAGAAAAAGATATGCAAAATACATACATTCATATATATATACGTATAAAAATAGCGGTAGCGAGAGTATAATGGAAAAAGGTAAAAATAGACGAAGATATAAACAAGAATAATATAATAATAAGGAAATAATAAATGAGTGCATTACAGTGAATGTCAATTTCTTCTCTATTTCAACATCATTAATATTTTTACTCATCATCTCTTCTCTTTTTCTTTGTTGATGAGTGTGATATTTTATAGCATAATCATTTGTTGTTAATCAATTATCAAGCAATTCCTCAGTGAGTTCTGAATACACAAATTCTTGATGTTGAAATTGTTGCATTTTTGAATGTTGATTGAAATACACACTGATAACCTCAATATCATTGACAAATGTCATTTTTTCTTGACAGAATGACCACTCAGATATCTGCTGATGATGTTTATATTACAACTTTCAAAATTGTTTTAATCTTCCATCATTGATTCTCATATATATCTTTGATAATAGATTGATGTGTATGCTGATTGACAGCATCAACAATTGAAGATCAAACACTTTTGTAATTGTCATTATTTATCTTCAAACCTCATTTTTTGACATCAATGAAGGTATTGAGCATGGCCAGCTCCATGTCAGTGGTTCAATCAATTCGAATTTGAGAGTCTCACCAAACTCACTGAGTATAGATGTTATAAACCTGCGGCACGGACCGGGGCTTATTGGATAAGAACCGAAGGAATGCAGGAACGGAACAACCCACAACCGACGCTAGTATGAGGTCACGTGACTACTCACCCTGATCACCGTGCTCACCATGATCACCGGTGAGCAAAGTGAGCAAGTGAGCAGAGCGAGCAGGATATTTTGTATGAGGACTCAAATGTATTTAACACACTCATTACCCTTAGGATCAAGGAGCTATCTTCTTGATCACGATCAATCTTACTTTTTCTTATTAACTCGCCCTACTACACTTTACTT